TTTGCCTTCTGCAATATAAACTCTTCTCTCAATACAGTGTGATTGCAAAGATTGCTTAAAAGAAAAGTATTACTACTGGGCAGGAGATTTCTAGATTGTGCCTGATGATACGATTCACAAACTGGGCCCCACCACTTACATGACTGTATACTTTTGTGGTGGACACCTTCAAGAGTCAGAAAATGTGCCGTCCCATTCTCCCCTGCTTAGTTCACTATATTGTTTCGTTCCAGTAAGCAGTGGCTGCATGACCCAAGAAATTAGGCCTTCAAAGTTATTGGGAAGGGAGTTTATGAATATTTTTTTCACTCTTCCAAACTGACCCATTCTCCCTCTTTCAAATGCGTAATAATTCATTTTAATTGCAGTTGGAATTTACATAAAATATATAAAGTTTCATTGAAATGTCATTTTAAAACTTAAAGTGTAGAGAAAGCATGGCTAGTTTTACAAATACAAATCTCATAATTATTGATTCATATACTAGAAAAACTTAAAAGTAAAACAAATCCCCAGGGCCCTACAAATAGTATAAAGGTGAGCCACTGAAACACTCCCCAAGGGAGTTTTCTACTTCACTGGAACCTCATGAGCACAGCTTCCCCTATCTGCATTCTGTGGTCATTCTGACCTTTCCAGCCCTCACCACAAATGCCCACGAAGCTCTGCCAGTGCAATTGAGGGTTCTCTGCACACAACTCATCCAGTTACTCAAAAATCCATCTGTAGACAACCCTAAGGTCTCATCTCAGTTACCTGAGATGTAATCAAAATTCTTCTCAGTGGTAATTGTGATTTTGTCAACACTCTGTCCTTATGACAAACAAAAACAGATACAGAAGAAGAGATTTTTATGAGCTTTGAATTAAAGTGTAAAAAGAAGAAAAATACATTTGGTTTCAGGGTTTGAAGGACACATCTCTTAAACATCTTCCAAGTATGCCGCACTGAGAACTAACCTTGTGACATGGCCTTGGGGGTGTGCAGGTCCAATTTACATCTATGCTGGTTGGAAACGAGGAATCCCACACTTCAGTTCAGCTCCTGCATCACACATGGGTCTGGTCCTACTGCTCTGAGACCTGGGAACACCTTTGCTCAGTAGTGTGGATATTCACACCAGGAAAGAGGGACTGTGATCACGGTACATCCATGCACTTCCTGCTGTAAGACACTCAACAAGTGTCCTAAGCAGAGCAGCCATCAGCACCATCATGACTGCTGTGCTCATCAATGTCCTTTGGTAAGAAAAAGCTCGTTACCACATAAATTTTTCCTTTAGGAAGTAGTCAACTCTTGAAAAACTGGAACCAGAGCTGTGGAGATGACTGGCTGTGGTAAGGACCCTGTGACAATGTGATGACGGTCTTGGAGAATCAATGAGGTAAATCAATGGGCACTCTATGAGACAGAAAGAACAACCTTGAGAGAACCTCAGCTGGAAGGTGGTGGTATAAGGCAAGTCTATTATAGCTAAGTCCTGGCCCTTGTTGACATAAAGACAAATCAGGCAGATGTGGGTGCATTTCAGGGAGGGTCCACTTCTGTCAGAAGAGAAGACAGCAAGGCACAGGCCTGTAGTACCAACATGCAGGAGCTCGATGGAGGAGAAACAGGTTGACCTGGGGTTCATGAGGCCCTGTCGTTAAGACAGAGAAAGGAGGGGAGAGTCTATATATTGATTCTAGACAGGATCTAGAGCCTGGTGAAGACCAAGCACAGGGGAAAAGGGAGGCAGTCCCTTGCGGAGGGAGGTCCCACTTTCTGTGGCTCTGCTGAAGAGACAGCTTCCTGGCAGAAGCTGGTATCTACCCATTGGGCAAGGCACTGCACCCAAATATCTGCAAGACTGCAACCAGTCCGAGGAGACCACATGACCCCCATATTCACAGCCTTGCGAAGACCAAGCACAGGGGAAAAGGGAGGCAGTCCCTTGCGGAGGGAGGTCCCACTTTCTGTGGCTCTGCTGAAGAGACAGCTTCCTGGCAGAAGCTGGTATCTACCCATTGGGCAAGGCACTGCACCCAAATATCTGCAAGACTGCAACCAGTCCGAGGAGACCACATGACCCCCATATTCACAGCCTTGCTCTGCCTTGGTGAGATGAGGGGCCGGGAACACCCTTCTCTGGGAGGGATCCCACCCTTCAGCCAGACCTTGTAGCACCAAGACAATTCATAAGCACATGTCAGGGGAGGACCTGTTGGGCTTCAGGGCAGACCTCTCACAGAGAACTCTCTTCAAGGACTGAGTCTGGACTTCAGGACCCCAGTGCTGGGAGGTGAGTGTGTCCCCAGTTCTCACAGGTAAGTCCTCCTCACTGAGGACAAGGGGTCACCTGTGGCCATGGGAAACAGAGAGCAGCAGGTGTGGCTGATGCTGCGGAAACTGAAGAGGGTCCCTGGGTTGTGGGCTTGATCTGAGGGAGGGTGTCCTGCGACCCAGCCTCTCTTTCCTTGCAGAGAGTCTCCCAAAGCCCACACTCAGGGCTGAGCCAGGCTATGTGGTTGCCAAAGGGATGCAGGTGATCATGTCGTGTGAGGGAAAACAAGATGTCATGGAATACCATCTCCATAAAGACGGAGCTTCAGATCCCTGGCGCAGAGAGGTCCCACGGTACCCTGGAAACAGGGCTGAGTTTCCTATCCCAAACACTGGGCAATATCATGCAGGGCTATATCACTGTTCCTATAAGACTCCTGATGGCAGGTCAGAGCACAGTGATCCTCTGGTGCTGGTGGTGACAGGTAAGACGATCCTCAGTGTCGAAGGTCCAAGTTCTCCCCACAAAAAAGCCTGCTCTCAGATGAGTCCCCCTTTCAAAGCCCACATCCAGGGAGGTATGTGTGGGATGTATGAATCCATTTAACACACTGTCACCTCTCCTAGGATTCTTCTACAACAAACCCAGCCTCTCAGTACATAGCCCTGCAGGAGCCCCAGGAGGGAACACGGTCCTCCAGTGTGTCTCAAGATACCGATATGACAGTTTTGTGCTGAGGAAGGAAGGACCACAGGAGCTCTCCTGGACCTTGAACTCACAGTACATATACTCCATAGGGAAGTACCAGGCCCTGTTCTCTGTGGGCCCTGTGTGTACCAGCCAGAGGTGGAGGCTCAGGTGCTTTGGCTATTACATGAGGAACCCACACATGTGGTCAAAACACAGTGACCCCCTGGAGCTGGTGTTCTCAGGTATGTAATTCACTCCCATCAGTGAAACTGCACATATGCAGGTTCCCAAGGGAGGCCCTGGGTTATGATGGGTGAGGGGATCCAGGGCTCCTGAGCTCTGTGATAGAGAGTGAGGAAGACACTGGACCTGATTTACAGAGGCCTAGGCAGAGAGTGAGAATGAAATATGGAAGTCAAGAAGAGGTCAAAGAGAGGGATGGGAGTCACGTGGCTTCACTGGTCCTAGAGCTGTTCAGGGGCCAGTTGAAGTGCCATCTCTATGTTTGATCTTTACTGTCCCACTGTTTAAACAGACGCACCTACTTCTCTACAGGGACCACCCGAAAACCCACCATCTGGGCTGAGCCAGGTTCTGTGGTCACCTCAGAGACTCCTGTGACCATTTGGTGTCAGGGGACCCTGGATGCCCAAAAATATATTCTTCATAAAGAGGGAGACCCAGCACCTTGGAAAATACAGACCCCACTGGAACCAAGGAAAAAGGCCAAGTTCTCCATTCAGTCCATGGCAGAGCAACATGCAGGGCGATATTGTTGTTACTATGACAGTCCTGCTGGCTGGTCTCAGGGCAGTGACACCCTGGAGCTGGTGGTAACAGGTGAGGGGAAACTTATGGCTCCCCATCTCTAGCCTCTGCCTTCAGGAAAAGGGATCTGATCTCAATGGTTCACTTTCATCACAGCCCTGGGGAACAATGTGGGCTGTATGAGTCCATTTAACACATTGGTTCCTTCCATCCTAGCCATCTACAACAGTAAACCCATCATGTCAGCCCTGCCCAGCCCTGTGGTGACCTCAGGAATGAAGGTGACCCTCCAGTGTGTTTCACAACATGGATATGACAGTTTCATTCTGACCAACAAAGGAGAACAGAAGCTCTACAGGACACTGGACTCACAACCCTTATCAATGGGTCAGTTCCAGGCTCTGTTCCCTGTGGGCTCTGTGACCCCCAGCAGCAAGAGAACCTTCAGATGTTATGGTTGTTACAAGAGAAAGCCACAAGTGTGGTCAGAACCCAGTGATCCGCTGGAAATACACATCTCAGGTAAGGAAGCTTCATCATTCCTGGAGTCATTTTTTGAGACCCCAAGAACTTTGTTATGAATCTCACTACTCTCCAGGAGTCCCAGGTGTTAAGCGGCTGATGGGACCTATTCGCTCCTAAGCCAGAGTCCTACAGAATGAAAGAAAATGAAACTCACAGTGTAGGATAGGAGGAGCAGGTGTATGAAAGGGGCAAAATCCTCATCCACCAGTCCATTTTCCCTCCAGGGCTGCCGAAGAAGGCCTTGCCACTGACCCAACCAGGAACTCTCCTGGACCACAGAAAAATTCTGATTCTCCATTGTTGCTCAGTCATCAGCCACAGCATATATTCCCTTGTCAAAGAGGAGGAAAGTGACCTCTCCCAGAATTTTTTAACTGGTCTCCTTTAGGCCAGGTTTCCACTGGGATCATGAAGGGCTGTATTGGAAGCTAGTACATAGGCTGTGGTAATTTCAACCTCTCCAATGACTGTCAACACCCAGTGAACTCTGGACATACCAGTCACAGATCAGGCACAGGGTAGGTCCAATCAGGAACCACAAACTCCACAGGGCCTTCAGGGGAATCCCTGGGATTGATGTCTTGGATGAAGGTTGGTGGTGAAAGGAAAGACACGGGAACAGTGTAGGTGAAGAATCAGAGAAACCTGACAGAGTCCCAGATCCTCAGAGTCAGGATTTAGTGAGATCTCAGCTCAGAAGAAATAGTACAGCCCCTCATCCACCCCTCTTCTCTCTAGGACAGCTCCCTGTCATAACCTCTCTCTCAGTGACAACAGGGTCCACAGTTTCCTCAGGTAAGTAATGTCCCCTGCTGCATCTGTCATGAAGCCAGATGAAGATGTTAATTCACATCATGGAATGGGCAGAAAAACCCCACTACATCTCAGGCCGAGGTCCCAAGCTGGGGCATATTGGGCAGAATTCTCCATAAGAGCTGTGACCTCAACCTTCGGTGGGACCTACAGGTGCTAGGGTTCTCAAGGCTCATCTCCCTAGCTATTGTCACACTTCAGTACCCCTGTGAAGCCTGTGGTATCAGGTGAGAGAACCCTAACCTAATGAGCTCAAAGGGTGACTCAGGATCCTGCCCACAGGAGAGGATTTGGCTAGGATAAGATTAAAAGTCATAGGAAATCACAGTCAAGAGACCAATGGGAGGCCCTCAGGGAATATCCACCCCATGTCCATTAGTGGAATCTAGAAAGTTCCATGTGGGCAGAAGAAGGTTCTCCAAGACGCCACAGAGCAGATGGGGACAGTGAACAGCAACTACCTCTCCGAGGTCAGTTTCTGTCCCTAACCTTCCTCTTGTTCTCTTTTCTAGTATCCCTTGTGGGAAATAGCACCTCTAACACCGGGCCCATCCCAATAGCTGGTGAGTGTCAGGGGCTTCTTTCCTCAGTTTGTGCCATCGCTGAGCTCCCTGCAGACTCTCACACCATCTAAGTCCTGGTTCCTGTGTCAACTAAGTGTGTATCCCAGAGCCCAGAGATCAGAGACCCCAACAGAAA